TGTGTGTGTGTGTGTGTGTGTGTGTGTGTGTGTGTGTGTGTGTGTGGTGTTTCCCAGAAATATGCAGCCAAATTTACAGAAATATATATTTTTTGCTTTTGCAGTTTTTCTATTTTCCCTGGGAAATTTGTTATTTTTGTAACCCCAACATTCAGAGGAACAAACGWATCAAAAACTTAAAAAGGATAAAAAAGTTCAGCCTCAACAGCAAAAATGAAACAAACTATGAGACATGCTTTAGATTTATTATCGCAACATCTGGATTTATACTTTAAAGGGCTACTTTACCTTTTTGGTCTGCTTATTTTGTGTTGCTTTATTTGTTTATTTCACCATTTATAAAACCCTATAATACTCCACTTGCTTCCACTTCAGCACCTCCATCATGATATATAGTCCATTTTGGTTGCAATATACCATTTTTTCTTCATGCTGTATTGTTACTGTGTTAAAATATATTTGTTTTTACATGATGATGAAATTGAGTTTTACTAACAACATATGCACAATTTTATTTTTGAGTTTGAATTCATGTGCGCTACATATACATCATTTTCTGCAAGAATACACTGAACCAAAATAAATGATCAATTCAAGTAAAGAAAAATGAAATGAAGTGCATAGAATTAGTTCAGACACTTTTTGCAGATTAGAAGAATCCAGTGTTGCTTTATTTCTTTTCACTAAACGGTCTCTACAAGACCCGAATGCAAATGCAACGGCATACCAAGAAAAACAATGTTACATTCTCATAAAGCTCTTTTGGCATAAAAAAAGAAAAAAAAAAAACAGCAAACTTGACAATAAATAAAAAACAGGTTGGCAAACAAAAAAAAAGTTGTTGAACAACAATAACAAAAGAAAAAAAATACTCAAAATTGCATTTCAAACAGGACAAAAGTATAGAAAATGTAATTGGCACAAATTAAATAAGTAATTTTTAGATTGCGTGAACCAACTCTATCTATAACTTTGCGAATCTGATTGTCCTTCACAGTTAGCATCGTGGGTGTACTGCACAAAATAGACACAAATGTTTCATTATTCCTGCCAAACTGTCAGTACTCATCATTTCACTTTTCTCAGTATTTTGACCTTCATAGTTTCATTGTTAGGTGGCCTTTTGGTGCAAATTGTTGTTCTGAACAATTCTATAGGTGCCTGTGCAATGAACTATGGTAAATATATGCACATAAAGCAGGACGAGCAATCTATAAGTTACCAGTGATTTCTGATCAGAGTTAAGCACAGGTGCTTAAGGACATTTTAAATTAAAGAAACAAAAAATGACATTAAAGACACTTTGGTATTTTGTAGGCCATGATGTGCTAAACTATGCCTCGATGAGTGCAATGCTCACTAAATGTATTTCATGTAAAGACCCAGTCTTCTTTTATTTATTTGCGTGGATTTGATTATAGTGATTCCAGGGCACCTATCACACACAAATATGTCATAATGGTACACTCATTGTTGACCCGTGACAGCAGCCCCGTAGGATCTGCTTTGTGTTGATGACCATGGCGATACGTAGTACATAAATAAAAATATATATTTTTGAAGAATAAGCTAAACACAAATGCAAAGTAAAACACTTTAACAAATAGTAACAAAACTTTACTCCTATTTTGTAACAGGATGACTCGTTTCTCTTAGAAAGCGAGTCTTTTCCCGTTATAGACTTTATCCCTCTTCATCTGTGCTCTGTTTTTCTTGGTCTGTCTCAGCAGGGCATACGCAGTGCAACACTAACATCTTCAATCTCAACTTCTCAAAGCAAAGAAGAAAAAACAAAATACACAATACAATGTAATCTACACCCATATAAAAATAAATCAATCGCAAACATGGAACAATACATCTCATATATACAATATATTCCTATATAAAATAGCTTTTATGTACATATAGACAAAAGACAACAATAAAATAATTGTACTGTACAATGTACACCTGAATAGTTAAGACAGGTGAGAGGTACTGAAGTGTATGGCTTGATTGGGAAAACTTCAAAATATTTACAGATATTTTTATTTTTACTTTACACCCTTTACATGTTGACACTTTCCCTGGAATGAAAAAAAGGCTTAGAGACAACCTCATGCCTCCCTGTTAGTTTTCAATTATTTAAACAAGGCTAACACTTGAACAACTGGTCCACGGTGACAATCGAGCCTCATATTGCACAACCAAATGCAATCTCAGCTCCATGTCAGTGACATTTGATAGAAGCCAGACATGTAAGATGTCAGTCACAAAAAATATTTTATAAAATAGATTAAATAGGGAATGGTAACACCACTTATTTGAAGTTTGTGATGCCCAGGAAGACCCAGACGTTCTTTTCTTCTTCATGAAAGGACCAACCAGTTATGGACAACCACTTCACTTTCACAAGAATTAGATGCAAAAATACTCCAGTGTGTAATCACAGACTGCTCTGTTTCAGAGCTGACTTTTAGTTTATGAGTACTTGAGGCTTACTCATGGAATATTTTCTATTCAGGAAGCTGAGGGTCATGGGTAAAGTCATGAATCGTTCCYCACAGAAGTTCTTCAGTAGTGTTCTTGTAATGGTTCAGCACATAATAGAAATCCCTTCAACAGTGACTAGCTGACCAGTGGTGGGGTCATAGGTCCCAGCCAAGTAGTAGAGGTCTGGGGAGGTACTGTTTGGCTTCTGATTCTGAGTTACACACTCGTATTCCTCCCTGCTCATCACCCGGCACTTATGAGAGATTGTCTGGACATCGTTCTCATCCTCATGACACGACTGGTAAAGGGCATGCTGGATTGGAAACAGATGTGGTTAGCCACAAAATAATATTTATCACAAATGGAAAAAGAAAAGAACCGTAATCAAAAAAAAGAAGAAAAATCTCATGTAATGGAAGAACTCACTTTGCCATCTCGAAGCCTCTTGCCTAGTTTGGTCTCCTCAGGGTGATAGAACCACTTGACTTTGACAACCATTCTTGAGGTCCAAGTTTCCCAAAGGTTTTCAATTTGGCCCACGTATGGGAGRTTGGGGCGTCCAGCCGAGAGAAACACAGCACAATCTCCAACTCTCACAGTGTCTCTGCCTCGYACTATGGCCTTGTAGAAAAGCTTCCGGGCCTTGCCCTTTAGCCCTCGTCTCTGTGGAAAACCAGACATTTTGACCATCCATCTTTGATYATGAGAACTGAAATTTCTCGGTTTGAGGAATGACAGAACGAGATCTTTATGAAGTKATTTAATGTGTGCAATTAAAAGGATGAATGAACTATTTTCACCTGCGTAGGATTTCCTGACCATCTCCACATTTGGCGGCCTGGAAGAAACGCAGCCATCTTGGGCCTTGGAATATATGACGCGTCATCTGGAAGCATCCTTGGTTTTTTCACTAGTTCCTTGTTTGGTTTGGAAATCATACACTCTTTCCTCTTTAAGGATTTACTGTTGGACCCCTGGTCAGCTCCTTTTACGCTGGAAACAGCCACAGCTTTGGCCACAAAGGAGTGCTGTTGGGACCTTGAAGAAGTAGAGGGTTCAGATGACTGCAGGAGCCCCTGGTGGGAAGACAGACAACTCTGCAGCATCAGTGCAGAACTGTCCTCATCGTCYGAGCTGTAGGATGAATCATTGTCAGATGAGCAAAGGCTGGAACTTGAAAGAGAGCCTGAAGAGGAGGAGCTTGAAGAACCAGAGGAGGAAGAGGAGACGGAGAGGCGGGAATGAAAACGTCCAGCCATCCTGAGACCTCCTGCGGCTGTAGCGAGTGCAGCCCGCCTCCTTTCCTCCTCTTCCTCTTCATCATCCAGATCCGAATAGGAAGTATGACACTCTCGGTGCGAGCTGAAGCCCAAATCACCGTATTTGTCCTGGCGCAGAGAAGTGGAGGGTTTTCTTTGAGGTGTGGCCCCTTTCAGGAGAAGCTCCACTCTAGAGGAACCTCCCTTTTTGTTGTCTTTAACCAACAGGACTGGGTGAGAGTATGCCTCAGTCTTGGGCATGCCACTCACACTAGAGTATTCGCCTCTCAGCAGCAGAGCCTTGCTGTTCTTTGTCTTGGGAGATGTCACCCCTTCGTGATCTAATTTGACCAGAAACTCTTGTCCGGACTTCTTGCTCCTTGATGTTACCAGTTCATCTTGCCTACGCTTCTCACTATACATACCACTCTTGGAGCCCAGAGATAAACCCAAACTTGTCCCTGTAGCCTGGGTACAAAAGGAGGAGTAGCCATTTGCAATGCTTCTAAAGGAATCCACTTCAAAGGAGCTGCTGCTGAAAAGGCTTTTGGATGGGAGGGAGGCCATTGACTGGGTCTGAGGCAGCAAGAACAAGGCATCTTCCTTCCCTCTTAGAGTCTTCCTTGGTGCCCCATTGGACTGAAACAGATTGTCGGATGATCTTTTCCGAGTGTTAGCCATTGAACTCCAACCCAAGAAAGCTGAAGTACTTTTGTTGGTATTTTCAGCCTGTTGTTGCTTTTGTTTTTTCCCAGAGCCCTTTGGTCTTCCTAGAATGTGAAACAAATTTTATATACAGTATGTTTTAGCAATATTTCATGTTTAAAAGTGGATTTATATCTACAGTTTTAGGCATACTGAAACAGATGCACATGTATAATCAAGAGAAAACTGTAAGAATCAAGACATTTTTATTGAAGACAAAATTGTGGAAATATTTTACTCATCGTGAGCATCATCTTACAACTGGTAAAAAAAAAAGGTTCATTTTCAAGATGAATTCTCACCTGGCCTTCTTTTGATAACGGTAAGGCTGTGAGTGTTGTTTGTAGAACTGGTTGAGCTGAGTCTGTCTGAAGACCTGTCGATGATTGGAACTTGCTCCAGACTYGAACTTTTCTTAGCTGTTGTTCCACTCGGTACCAGCAGGGCAGGAGTTGACTCACCACCTTTAGGACAAATGAAATAAGAATGAAAGTAACGTGGACAATGAGAACCTGAATCAGGCACAGGAAACAGGTCCATTACTTAGCTTTGAACGTTTATTCACAGACATACAGTATGATTTACTGTAATTTAACCAGGCACGTCCTGTTGAGATCGCAGATCTCTTTTTCATGGGAGGGCTGGGCCTGAAGGCAACCTATTGTACACGTTTTTGGGGGAGAACATGCGAACTCTGCACAGAAAGATCCCAGGTCCGAACTGGGAATCGAAACCAGGACCCTTCTTGCTTCGTGCCACCAAATAAAGTTTATTACAACACAGCTCTGTGGTCCATTCACTCATAGCTTCTGCCCGATTTTCAAGACCTGAGCAAAATGACCCAAATCATGTGTTTTTACAATGTTTATAGAAAACCTGGTCATAGGTCATATTTAACAAGAAAGTAAGTTCTAGAAATAAACACTAAAACTAAATAGAAACTTCAATCAATCAATCAATCAATCAATCAATCAATCAATCAATCAATCAATCAATCAATCAATCAATCAATCAATCAATCAATCACGTTATTTTTGGTAATTACTTCACAATAAACATTAAACAACAACAACAACAACAAACAAACAAAACAGAAATAATAAACAAACATAATTTACCAAAAAATGGGATAGGCTGAAGCCAAGCTTATTCTTGCCTACCATATTTTATGCTCAACAACCTACCAAGATATCTTCACAATATATATATATATATATATAAATCTTCACAACAGCGTAAGATGTTATCATTTTACATTTCAAAGCTCTAGGACTCATTGATTATCTTACTGATTGCAATCGATAAAATGCAAATAAAATATAAGAGTGTGTAAATTTAGTTTATCAGTCACAAAATATCTTACAAGTCTATTAGTTTTTAGTTGTTTAGAGACAGGATAACAATCCCAGTTACTTACACTGAATCTGGTACCCTGGTGGCAGGAGTCGGATGTTGGGGAGCAAAATTTTCCCTCTGTCTCCATCATCGAACTCAACCATCACCCCACCTGGCTTCCCCTCATCTGATGATCCACCTGCATGAGACATAAATGCTGTTTTATGTTTGCTAAAAAACAAGGGTGGGGGGGTTATGCTGTAGAACCCTTTGAGCAATTATGCTTAAACATACATGCATGACATACATTTTTAAATCAGGTTAAAGTTACCTAAAGACAACAAGAGAGTTGCATCTGTCTACTTAACCAGATAATTTCTATTGTGTTTGAGCAAATTGTTTCATTTTATTGGGGGGGGGGGGGGGGTGTTGTTAATGTGACTTGATCAAATTATTGTGGGGGTCATAACCCCCCGAACCCCCCTGCAAATTACACCTATGCTAAAAAGTAACTGTTTGCACTTGGTTGAATGGAGATTTGAACTCACCTCTGTGAACGTAGCCTGGATAAAGGCAGCGTGAACGCTCGCTCCAATAAGCACACACCCTGGTTCCTTCACTGAGCATAGCCTCGGACTCTGGTCGTATATCCAGAACCTGGAAGCCARACCAAAACATAATTAAGATTCATTACAGATTGCATACAATGCGCCCATACAAAGTCATGCTCACACACAGACATCCAAACAGTGCAAGAGCAATGGAGCATTGTGAATGGGCAGCCACAGTGCCACGTTTCCAAGCAGCACTTATCTCATGCCAATGTGCCAGTCAGAGCTGAAAAGAGCGGAAGCCATGATGCAGTAAATCCTGACTTGCTGAGTAATACTAAAGAGGGTCTGAATGGAGGGCTTGTGATTGCAGGTTGCCAGATCCTCCCTCCAACAATGCAGGCAGCCCCAGCATCCGCCGCTCACTGGGGGCCCTTTCAGGTTGCTTTCATTTACTGTTGCCATGGTGAGGGACCTTTTGGACAAATTTAAAGATGCTAACAGGGAAGTATGGTATAATTAGAAGCAGCTGCTGTGTGATGTGTGTWTAGATTAGAAAAAAATATATGTTGCCAGAGACATGTAAAAATAACAGGAAAGGTAGAAAATTACTCTGTGAGAAAGATTTATGGTACTGCTTTGATCAAATGAGCAAGTTTAGCTTAATGGGCCAATGAGATTAGTGGTGAGACAGAAAGTAAACCAAGTGGGTTGGGTGGGGGTGGGAGCTTGTACTGAACACTGATTATTAAATGCCACAATAACATTTGAAACGTAAAAAAAGACAATGCTTGTAAAATTAAAAAGATTGTAAAAAGAAATTGTGAGTTGAGAGATTCAGCTTTATTTTATATCATCTTAATTNCATCTTAATTTTATTAATATTTTTCACATTGTGATGCAAACTGAGGTATCATCATCATCATCATTTTATTATTGTCCCATTAGGGAAACTTTCTTTGCAGTAAGTGCTTTATAATACCAGTCCAGTTAAGTTGAGGAGAACACACTCCTGTAAAGACAAATTATCAGCTCAGGGACACTTCTTCAATCTACTGATAATTAACTAAATTAAACTTTTCGGCACTCATAGAGACTCCAAGCACACAACAAAATGTTTTTAATGGCTAAAAAGGTGTATTTTGCATATGTTCCMTTTAAAATAAACACTGCTTTTTGTTATCAATAAAACTTGCACATTGATGTGAAATTGCTTTTTTAAAATTTTCTCACAAGATTCACGTATTGTTTTAAGGTTTTGAGGATTTTCCTGTGACTTAAAGTGAACAAAGTTTTTCATATAAAATGTGCTTAAAGTTTCAAAAATATGCTCTACTCTGTAAGGTTTCAATCTGATACTTTATGCTGTACCGCTTCTAGAGACACATGAACAGGAAACCAGTCGGGTAAAGTTGCTGCACAGTTCCTGTGACTTTTAAACAGCCTTCCCTTGTTTAAATTAGAGCAAATGCGAGTGATCCAAAGTGCAAACATGCCGGTTAAACTTTACTCTTCATTCTAGGCTCATCCTGTTTGGACACTACAGTGTGTGCAAACATTAGGCCCTTTGTCCTGTTTGGCGATAATGAAAAGCTATTACCAGTTGGAAAAGATGTAGGTATGACAAAATAGCTTTAGGAGACCCACAAAGACTAACATTCTTTTACTCAATGTCTTCTGCTATAGTAAACATTGGTTTTACTGTAAACAGCATATGCATTATAATAAGTCTGTATTTCAAAACATTTCAGCTCCTTATACGTTAATTTAGCTCCATAATGTCTTTTTTATTAAGGTTAAAGTTTCCTGTTTTAACTTAAAACCTTGAATGGATCCAGGTGTTGGTTAATCCTGAGCTTCGTTTAACAAATATTCAGTGACTCACACACACATATAGGTCCTCTCCATCTGTCCAAGCTAACTCAGAAGTTTATAAACGGCTAAAATTTTATAAGAGAAATAGAACCGGCGTGACCAAACAGGAGGCAGCTTTCTAGAATTTTACAGCAGTGAGGTAAACTTACAGCTTGCTTCAACAGTTGCTCCAGTGAATATATTCTTGGTCGGTTTCCTCTTTCACCATCAATAACAACGCTAAAGCTAAAGGATAAAAAAAAGAGCAGAAAGAGAAAAAAAAATAGATACGGTTATTTTCAGAGGCTTGTATTGAGCTCACCTGCTTCTCGTGTCATGTGGTACTCCCACTTTGTTGTCATAGCATCGCATTGCTGCCTGAGTCAGATGAGTGATATTGATATTTAAGAGCTCTGAATGAATTTTTTAAAGGAAATATTAAAACACAATGGAAGATAAAAGACTGTGATGATGGYATATACAYAATAATCATAATGAACTATTGTATATAGGGATTTTCTAGACATTCAAAGATGCTTTGCAATTTTCATGTATAATGATAATAATAATAATAATAATAATAATAATAATAATAATAATAATAATAATAATAATAATAATAATAATAATAATAGCTACTGCTTACTTATCTTTATTTTTATTTTTTTGTACAGAGCCCTGCAGCAATATACGCTGTGTATATATACTATGTAATTAACTAATAACAGCACATCTACAAGCTAAACTAGATTACAAGCTATTGGAAGAGAATCCTGATTGTTCACTTACATATCTGGGATCTCCAGAGTGTGGACCCTAGCAGCATAAAGAAGCTCATCCTCCTTCGAGATCAGCACTTTAAGTCCATCACATAAGAGTTCTTTGGTCAAGACACAGTTGGGAACTAAACAGGACAGAGCAGACACCAAAATAAAATTTCAAACATTACCAAAAACAATCTTTTGTTTTATGCTTTGACACAGAACTATCCCATTTGGTCTTTTCTTACATTTGGGGCTTTTCCTGTGTGACGGACTGTGGTCCTCATCTTCCTCTGAGAAGCTGCTACCATCCATCTGAAAGCCCTCATCAGCAGCAAAGCTCTCCAGGAGACGACTCACTGCTCGTCCAAACGGCTGCAGAAAGGACAGGCAGAAAAACAAATGGATGTGAGTTTGGAGCAAAAATAATTGCCAAAGCATAAAAAAATGCATGATTAGGCATCAAATTAGTCATTAGCTAAAATAAATATCACATGACCATGTTTACATATTAGTTTTACCTGTTGGTCCTTGCTTTTTTGGCCCCTGATTCCCTCCTCACCCTGYAAAGACGAGGCTCCAACTGACCAGCAGCTTCTCCTCTGGTAAAGTGAGCAAGAAAATAACTAGAATGAGAGGTAAGCTAACCCACTTGTCAAACTTTTTGGGGGTGGTCAATCAGGTGCCAGAGRTCACCCCAGCCACCCCTCTGSCACCACCCCTGCTACTGTATGTRGTTAGTTTCAGTGCTAATAATCCTACCTTGTTTATTGTTCCTCTCAACATGGTGTTCTTGCGTGTCGCCCTCTTCAACCGCTCACTGGTTGTTGGGAAGGTGGCCATTCCGATGCTCCTCCTGTACCGGGTGCCTCTTGTACCGAGGTTGCCCCACTTGGATTCCTTCGACCGGGGTCCACATGCTCTTCTCGCTCCTTCAGACCGTTGATGTTGGTGGTTTTTGACCGAAGTAGCTAAGCCCAACCTACAGGTAGGTTTCTTCCTGACTTTGACTTCTCCCTCAGCTACAGGTAGAATCTGGGAACCTGTAAGGTCCAGTTGAATAAAAAAAACATTTTAGATAATACTTACCAGAAAGTAAAAAGCGCAGAAAACAAAATGTAAATTGAGGGCAGCTTTGTTGACTTATCAACAGGCAGCCTCACCATACAACTCCTGTCTCTGTTTTTTGTTCCTGGCTTTCTGGTTGGCCTCMAGTTTTACGATGGATGAAGGACTTGGGTCCGTCATGGTGGAACTTGAAGTTATGTCTCTGGGAAGTCTGGCTTTGTAATCTTGACCTTCATCGGTCTCGTAGCTGCCTTCCTCTTCTTCATCATCTAACGGTAAAATCAAACAATACAACGCAAAATAAGTCACTCCATTTCATCTCAGCTTATTAAACTTTTTCCTTTTAGTCATTACTAATAATGAAAGTTCTTTAGTGCTCTCAGTCGTTTCCTAGGCACCTCATTATTACTTGTGTAAATAGTTTAACAGGTTATGGAGCTGATGCATGAAGTGCTTAACCTCAGTGGTATTTCCTGGAGTGAACCCTACATGTTGCTGTGAGTGTGCTTCGAGTCAGAACTGGCTTGTGTGTGTTTGTTGCAGCAGCTCTTTGACCCAGTCTGCTAGTCTCCGGGGCTGTCACAGCCTCTCACAGCCAAGTGTCCGCAGCTGTGGCTGTACATCAAATCCAGACCGGCCAACAAGGCCAATCACTGAGGTGTTGGGTGTCCATGAACACCCCGGTCTGTTACAAGACATTCATCATCACCTCTTAACTCACCTCTAGTTGGTTTCAAATCCATGGTCAAATAATAAAAAATAAATACTGGATTTTTAGGTCCATTATGCAAAGTTCACACAGTTTAACCTTTTTTGTGACTCTTTTTCATGTATATTTCTTTTTTTAAACATGTCCTGTTTTTATGAGCTATAACATTTACACATTAGTTTTTGCAGCATTTCAATCTGTTCTGAAAAATAAACTATAGCAAAAAAAGATAAGCTCTTAAAATAATGACTATTATTTTGCACAAGAGTAAACACATTATAGTTAGCCAGTTAGCTCAGTATAACTTTACTTTTTGAGATGTTTTCATTAAACTAAAACAGTGGTTCCCAAAGCAGAGGTGAGGCTCTGAGGTTTCTGAAGCATGAAGTTTGAGTCTTTATTTATTTATTTATTTATTTATTTTATTTACATTAAAAATGACTATAAACAGCATTTTCCCCCCTTCGTTGTTAAAAAAGTGTGAGGTTAGCTTACATAGATGTAAATTGCGTAATGAACATTGTCACCATGCTCATTTATTTGATCTGATGCCAGTGGTTTTTTTTTTTTTAAGAATCAAGGAGCTTTATTGTTATTCTAAAAGAGTATGAGGAACAAAAGGTCTCAGTTGTCAGTAGTGAAAAATAAAAACACAATATTGTTAGAGAACTATTTCAATGTGGGGTTCTTTGAAAAATAAGTCAATTTTTTAATATTTCCCTTTCATTAATTAAGACTTCATTTAGATATTTGAATTTTGAACTCTGTTAAAAGCTTAGAAACTGTTTTTGTAAAATTCTGTGGTATTTGTGGGAGCAGATAATACAGAATTATATGATGCCAATGTTTAGCACCATGAAAAAGTTGGGGGCACAGGTCTCTGCTATTGTTATTTTAATGGATCAAAAGCTTGAAAGTTTGGAAACCATTGGACTAAAACCTGTATCTGTTTTTTTATTAYTATTATTTTTGTTTGTTTGTTTCCTGACTTGGAAATCATACTTCTTCTTCCATCCGCTGCTAATTCCATTGATGAGAACTTTTCAGCTTTTTAAAGCCCCTACTTTTCAAGTTTAAATTCCTCTGCCATCTCTTCCTTACAACAGTTTCAAATCACTGCTTGATGAAAAGCGTCACAGATCTTTTACCAGTAAGTAACACACCCAWGTCTTAGTCTCACCTTGCTCAGACGAGTCACTTTCTGCAGAAGAGCTTTGTTTATCCTTTATTGTTCCTGGCCTCTGACCACGCTGACGTTTTGTCTTTGGCTGACTCTGGTGGGAGGAACCTTGTGTCGACGTGTTGGACCCTTTTCTGCTTCCATGATCCATCTGTCCGGTCCAGTTTTCTTGAAGAATGCTGTCCACGCTGGCTGCTGAGCAGTTAAACAAATATTGAATCTTTCACCAAGAACAAATCATTGTGCTATAAGGCAAAAGGACAATCAGTGCAGTGAACGCCAGAGCACACCTGTATCGCTTTGTGCCTCCGACTCTCGYCTGGACTCGGCTTTGCCCACGCCCTGGCTTCTGTGTCCATGCTTGGGGTTGGAGCTGCAAGGTGAACCCTCCTTGTCCCTGGAGCCTGTTCCTGAGAGATTCCTTTTAACCTGGGCCTTCTGTTTGAGCTGAGCCACATCACCAGCTAGCTTGGAGCTCAGCACGCCGTGAACACTGCTTTTTTTGCAGCTCTGTGCTTTTATCTGCAACAACAGAGAGACATGAGAGAGACAGAGAAAGCCAGTTACACTCCCGGTTACAGCAGTCACAAAAGCTCCAGAATGTCAGCCCCCTCATTTGCACATACACATGGAGAGACGGGGGGGAAAAGAAGAGTAGAAGCTGCAATGAAAGAGACATTAATATGGAGAGCAGCGGATTTGACTCCTGAGGGTAGCACCTAATTAGAAATAGTGTGCAACAAAGGAATATATCAAATGCAAAGAAACAAAGAGTGGCCTCTTTCATTTATAGCTGCACGGAGGACAAAAGAGAACAGGACAAGAGGACTCTGACCTGTGCACTGCTGAGATGCTCAAAGCCTTGACTGGACAGCCTCTTCCTCCTTCTCTGAGTGTCTCCGCCCCCTCCTAAGTCCTCAGGCGATAAGCCAAGCCCCATCCCCAACAACCTGCCAATCAAAAACAAGCATTTATCAGAAGAACTGTGGTTTGAAAGAAAAAAAAGAAAGGTAGCTTACTGTAAGATAAAAACAGAGTTGAGTCACCTCCCTTTGGGATCTAATCTCTCTTKTTTTCTACATTCTTAACATATAACAGAAAAGGCACAAGGAGAGATCAGTGTCTGAGCCATACACTTGAAAAATTTATATCAATTTAAATTTGTRTCTAGCAAGGAGCCTTAGATGGTTTGAGGGCAGGGTAGCATAAGACGCTTTAAATGCTTCATCAAAAGATGGAGTGTTTGCCCCATTGAAGGCTACTGTGAACATTTTGAAGGCGATGCATTTATATTCTGTTGTATGGGTTTCTTCCTAAGTTGCCTTTTTATATAACCATGGCATCATCTTACCCTTACTCTGAGCAGCATCAGAGGCTAACCCAGTGCCTCTTTTATTGCGTGTGGGGGGAGGGGCCTCCGAGGGCTGAGCATACAGTAGCTAATTAACAGAACTGATTAGTAGAGTTTGCTTGGAAGCAGTAATCCTCCCTTCCTCGCAAAGAAAAAATAAAATAAAATCAAAGCAATACTACAAAGTAACCAAGTCCTCATAGGAATAATGAATGCACACATAAAAACAAACAATGCTTGTATCAATGCCTCCACAGCTGCATCCGTACCCAGCTGTAGAAGCTGTAGAAGCTTGAATGGATCTTACGAACTCAGATATACRCTTGCAGTGGTTTAGGTCAAGGTTCTGCAACCTGCGGCTCAGGGGCCACRTGTGGCTCTTTGGTCTCTCTGCAGCGGCTCTTTGAAGTTTTGACTGAAGCTAACATGAGATTATTTTTTTCTCACAACATAAAAGTTTATCTTTAGCAGTGTTGCTGTCAATCTGATTGCAATTATGTGACCAATAACACAAAGAGGCCAATAACTAAAATCCATCAGGGTTACCTTTGAAGTWCTTACAGTAAAGACTAGACCACATAATAAGAATTAGAAACAAAAATATGCCTGCATTGTAGGTTTTATTCAACTATTTCTTGTTTAATTTTTTTAACTTCTCTTTTGTCCTAAAGTGTAAAAATAATAATAAACATTAAAATGTGCTATATATTTTTGGTTTTATAATGTCACCTGCTTTCAACAAACCCAAAGTGGCACCCAGGCCATCAGTTGATGGTCACAGTTAGACTATGTTTTGTGGCTCAGGTCATATTTTATTGGTGATCCAAGGAGTCGAAATGGCTGTTTTGATTGTAAAGGTTGCAGCCCACTGGTTGAGGTAAATTAATGTACAAAGAGAGATGGTAAATAGTTTGGATGTCCACCATTAACCTCCATCTGAGCAAAACTGAGTGTTCAGAGTGGCAGGTGAAAACGTTTATTGAAYGCTGACATGGAACACAACGCAAGACTAACCAGTCATTGTTAGTGCCATTCTTTTTAACACATACATACCACAGACTAAAGGCTGTCCTGAAAAATGTACAAACTAAAGTTTTGTGCAGTTTATTGTATTCTGACCTGTACAGATACGGCACCACCTCCTGTTCTCTGAACTTCATTGCAGTGGCCCTGCCTGCTTCTTTTTCATGTGGTTGTCATTGTCACCCAGCATCAGCATCCACTACCTGATCGGTGGTTGCTTGGTGAGGGGGCAATGRTACAATGGGTGGATGCAGAGTGGAAGTGACATTGCAGAGGGGCAGCTGGGAACACGGTGGACTGTTGCCCAGAAACCMCAGCAAGGAACCAAGTGAGAACAGAAGATGGAGAGGACGGAAATGCCACAAGGTAACATGTGGTGCCTTAAATCTTTCCAAATCCTGATTACAGGGCTAATTAAAACCTGTTTGTAAATCTTTCTTTTCTTTGAACCCTCTGGTTTTTAGTCCACTGACAAACCTAAAAAAAATCAAAGGTTTGACAAAATGCTGCTGACAGATTGATTTATTTTACTCTTAAACCAAGTCCAGTAAAACTCATAGTTWGCTGCTTAAATACGTTTAACAATTTCAGCCAATTTTTCTTAAATGAGAGACTTTTTAGTAACAAGCAGATCAAAGATCAAGCTTAAATACCAACAAACACATCAGTTCTCCTATTTCCTGTTTATGTCAATGTGAGGTTGCCTTTCATGTCAATGGAAAAGACAGGCTTATCACGCAGGACTTGACTTTCGCCTGCAAAGCCAGCAGAGATGGACTGACTGATACTCACTTGACTTTTCTTTGGCCTTCGGTTGAGGACACTGGACCTGTGGTGAGGGTGGGTTTCCTCTTCCTCGGCCGTCCTGGCCCTCGTCGTGCAGGGCTGCGAGGAGTTTCCTCCTTCCTGCACAACCAAGAAGATGTAAACACAWAAGAAGATGGCAGCTTGAAAATAGTATCTGAACCTGAAGGTCAACGAAAGGAATCCTTTCTGAAACTAAAAGCATTTTTTTTTAGTTTGTTTTCATTAGTTTGGACATTTTAGACAGCAAAATTGTGGTGCTTTTGGTAAAAAAAGAACAAAGCCATGCTCACTGATGATCATGCTTCCTTTGAAGTTTGGCCAGCTCTTTTTGCTTCTCTTTGTAGCGACGCTGTATCTCTGCTAACTTCACACGCATGGCCAGCTCAGGACCGTCCATTGTTTCCATGCTAACTTTGGCTGGGCACACCTAGAGCATGCAAAGTTTTGAAGTTACAAAAGCTAATATRAAAAACAAAAAAAGGTTTTAAAAATATAAAAATATACAAAGACAAACTTGACTTTTACTGGGCGTTTGGTTTAAATATCCAATCAATGACAGTTTAGACTACTGCAGGATCTTTGGATTTTGAAGGATCAATATSTGCACATGGTTTGTTTGAATCTTACTGGCTCATTGCGAGGGGTCCAGCTGCACTTTCTGCGCAAATTGAGAATCCTGCGAGCCGGGAAGTGTCGCTCTGAACCAGCACTGCTGCTTTCCTGGGATCCCAACTCCAAGGCACGGGCTGTGGCCAAGGTAGCAAGGCTTTGGAGGTCAAACAGAAGCAGCTCTTCGTCTGGCAGGAAACAAAGTAAAATGTAAAAAAAAAAAAGACAATAACTTACTTTGCAATAAACATGTTTAAGTACAGCCACATTCCTTATGTGCTTAAATGGATCAAAGTAAAGATATGATGACGTCTGTGCATAAGAGCGCCACATGTCTGCATTTAGCTTCAAAACCTGCATGTGTTTTTCAAAGTCATCTTGTAAAGTAGTGTGGCAAGAAAAATAGTTTCAGGGAAGCTATGTACTTGGATTCAATATAAAGTGCCAGAAGCATATAATTACAGAGGTCATATCAATGTGAACTTGCCAGATGCTGCTATATCTGTGGCCATCTGGGCTGAGAACCTACTATGTTGTTTCTCTGCGTTTGACATCTTGTCTATCTGCCATTAATAGACTGTGCTATAGACTAAATAACACAGATCACAGCTTAAAAACATGACATTCTGTTTACTGAGTAACACTGTCTTACATCTCAACATGAATAAAAAAAAACTGATTCTTCTCACTTTGTTTAGCACTTGTTTTGGTAAAGACTATTGTTGTGACTCTAAAACGGCATGTGTCACTTTCTTCAGCTGTCAACAGCATCACATCATGAAGACAACACCGCTTACTCTGGCATCAGATGATGCCCTTTTTATAGAACCCTCTTGTGGGAGCAGTTAAATGCATTAGGATGCTGTGGTAAACACGAGACATCCTTTTTGCATGAATGAAAAAAAACATATGGTGCTTTGAAAAGCAAGAAAGCTTTTAAAGGCACTTTAAACAATAGGGTCTAATTACCCAGGCAATGCTCCAGGGTGCTGAAAACGTGCACTGCTTTTGTGATTGCACACCAACTTTTGATAGCATGTTGTGTTCGGAAGAGACGGGAACAAATTGCCGGGCCTCGATTTGATTTTAAGTGTGCGTGTGCGAATCAAACAGCTGCAGGATGGAGAGACAGTTAAAATGACTTCCCATACTGGACCTGAGAGAGAGGTATGGAAAAATAAATCAACCTTTTACTGTTTTTTTTCCTTCTTCTCCTGAGAACTCTGCATCTTTAGAGCAGCCTTTTAGGGGACAAATAAAGTGTTGTTAACATGCTATGGATGGGCAACCACAGGCAGGAGTGAAAACATTTTGTCTGGGGACATGTTAGGGACATCTACCAAAGGTTTTTAATACCAGTCTGAAAAGATGAGTATCTGCAAGGAAAAACACAAACCAAGAAAGGCTAGCTGAGCCGGGAAATGGAGGGAAAGAATTGCAAAACATATCAAGAATCCCATAATTTGTTTGCATGTGATGCTTTGTGCATGTCGATATGTAAAGACCCGCTGTCTCACCCTGGCTTTTCCCACAGTTGTGCTTGATCTGCTGCAGCTCCAACTCTGCAAGCTCACTCAGAAGCTCCATACCCTGGTTGGGGGTGCATCGGGCTGGCATAGTTGATGGCGTGCTATGAGGGTACAGGGGAAAAGGGGGTACATCTGTGCAAAAAGCAGCAGCAATCAGCAGCTCCAGACTCCAGTAACATGGCACAAGAGGCTTGTGGGGCACAGCAACCGATTCTTCACTTTGGCTGCAGGCAGAGACAGAGGMGGGGGACTGACACAGAAATTCCACTGGGGCATCATCTGGAGTTATCTTGTTCTCGTGCTGGGGCTCACTTTCCTTCACTCCCTCTGGGCGTAGGCATGGCGAGTCCACGGCAGAAGGAGAAGCTGGGTCAAGCTCTATGATGGCAGGCAACTCTGGCTCTTGTTCTCCAGGAATGTTGACATTTTGATCATACCCCTCCTGACTGTCCCCACCCGCTGCCTTATCATCGTCTTCCTCCTCTAAAGTGACAACAGTTTCCAGCCTATTCGTCTCCCCTGTTGGAAGGGGAACCAAACAGGAGGCCGTCTCACACGCCGAACTCTCAGTGGGTGGGCAAACTAAAACATCCTCATCCTCAGCTGAACTGTGGTCAACTGCATCCTCCTCCTCTTCAGGCACATAGTTGGCTACTGTCACTGCTGTGACCTCTACCTCCTCCCTCTGTTCCAACCCCCCCTCAGCTACTCTTTCCTCCTCTTCTGGCTCTACTTCCTTAAGTGGGAGTGTCCCTGGGAGGGGCATGACTGCCACTTGGCAATCTAACTCCTCCCCTAGACTGGCAAGAGACTGGGGGGCATGCTCAGCTGGTTCCACTTGGATTGCCTCCAAGTCAGCTGGTTCAGCCAGTCGAACATCCTGCTGGGAGGGTCCGCTCCTGTAGCTCATGGCAATAGGTGGGTAGGTGTATCCAGGAGGCAAGTCTAAAAAATGAAAGTATTTAGTTAATATCATAATCAATACATTATAAAATCGATCTATGATAATTCTAAGTAGCATTTCCCAAATTATATCCTTTATTTAAAAAAATTATGCCAAAAAGTTTCAAATAATACCCTAAGCCTAAATTTTTGCAGACTAAACTTGTATAAAATAAATCTTTTTTCACTCTATGGTTCCATGGCATGACTGCAAAGACTGAGCCTGCAGTGCTGCACAATGATATGTTGGTACATATTGACATTCAGTGGTGGGCAGCACTAGCCTGGAAAAAACCAGACCCTTGTCCTTTACTTTGCATCGTACGAGGGTCTGGACTCGCTGCATAGAGAAGAGATTCTTGCTGGAGGCGTGGCCTCTGCTGAAGCGTGTGTGTGTGTGTGTGTGTGTGTGTGTGTGTGTGTGTGTGTGTGTGTGT